GTGAATAGTGGAACAGAGTAGTATGAAGTAAATAATAATTCTTTAAATTTGACATTTTGTGTTGAATGTTTGTTGTTTTTATATCTAAAAGTTTCTACATAACAGATTGATCCGTTCTGAGTAAAAAACAAACATTTTAAAACTCAACATCAGCTAGACAGCTTTTTTAATATTAAAGCATTAATTAAGTTAATTCTAGAAGTGGACTTGATGACTCACAAATAACCATAAGACTTTTTAGGTTATGTATGTACTAGTGTAATAACATAAAAATACCACGATAAAGGCATGTAATCTTAAAAATCACACTTTAGACAACATTAGGCATTCCAAAGTAAAGCCAATATTTTGTTGTTTCCTCATCATGTGAGGAAGAAGAATCATGGTTTTATTGCTCTTTGGATGTCTTTAGTGCTGTTTACTCCCTGCTGAAACTTTGACGATTTAAGTTTCAATCGCTAAATGATTATTAGCTCTTTGGAAACCCTTATTGCCGTTACTTCTTTGCTGAAACCTTTATGATTTAGGTTTCAATCAAAAATTATCATTAGCTCTTTGGGAAGACTTATTAGCGTTATTATCTTTAAAAAACCTCATTGATTAAGATTTCAATCAATACAAGATCTTATCTCTTTGGGAGAAAGAAATATTATATTATGTTCAGACGGACAATTTTAGTACAACTTCTTTTTAAGGTTTCAGCACTGAAGTTACTGATGTGAGTACAGACGGACAATTTTAGTACAACTTCTTTTTAAGGTTTCAGCACTGGAGTTACTGATGTGAGTACAGACGGACAAGCTTAGTACAACTTCTTTTTAAGGTTTCAACACTAGAGTTACTGATGTGAGTACAGACGGACAATCTTAGTACAACTTCTTTTTAAGGTTTCAGCACTGGAGTTACTGATATGAGTACAGACGGACATTTTAGTACAACCCCTTTTTAAGGTTTCAGCATTGGTGTTACTAATATGAGTACAGACGGACAATTTTATTACAACCCCTTTTTAAGGTTTCAGCACTAGAGTTACTGACATGAGTACAGACAGACAATTTTAGTACAACCCCTTTTTAAGGTTTCAGCACTGGTGTTACTAATATGAGTACAGACGGACAATTTTATTACAACCCCTTTTTAAGGTTTCAGTACTGGAGTTATTGATATGAGTGTCAACAGGAGAACCTTAGTACTATAACTCTTTTTTGTTACAGTACAGATATTATTGATAAGAGTATCAACAAGATATGTGACTTATTAAGAGGGATACAGGTTATCAAATAACGATAGGAACGTAAGGTAGCTTAGAATATATTTTATCAAATTAAAATGATTATAAAAGCAATGAGGAAAAACATGCTTTAAAATCTTGAATCAATAATATAAATTCCAAAAGCTAGAGTAACTGCTATTATATACAATTATAAATCTGATTAAATATTATGAATAATGCTGCTTATACACAAAGAAGTCTCTTCGCTTTCAAGTCAACAATAAGAAAGAAGATACATTAAGTGTTTTACAAGCAGAACGTTTATTTATTTTAATTTTCAGACTCGTATTTTCAGAATTCCAAGTAATAAATGCAAACGCTAGATTATATATAAATATATGTTTTATTTTCAGAATTTTAGACATTACTCCAATCTCTTTTGAATAAGGTATTTCACTTATACGTTACTGTTTAATTAGTCAGAAAAAACGATGTTGGTAATCTTAAAATTAGTTATTAGTGCAAGCATTTACTGGAAACACTTTGATAAGGATACTGTTTGGCCTCATAGGTTTTTTTATTGATAATTTCTTAATAACTTTCTTAACGAACTTGGTTTATAATTCATTATTTATAATTTCACTTGTTTCTGATTCCTAACATCTTCTAAGTATCTAATATATAAGGATAAAATATTAACTCAAACGATAGTTCATGACCAGCTATGGTGATTTCTAAAGATGTTGGTTTGTTTCTACACAATCGGTTACCTGTGACCTGTCGACTGTGTGGAACAGAACCCCGGATTTTAGCGTTTGAAGTCCGTAAACTTACCGCTGATCCACCGGTTTATGAAACAAAATCGTCAATTCGTGCTTCTAATCATTAATATTTTCCCATAAATTGATAAAAATAAAAATTAAATTATATATATACGTTGGTTTTAATTCTTGTTTGTTGAGCTCGTATTCTGTAAGCATATACATGTTTTGCATTTTCATAGCTCCCCCCCCCCAGTATCACAGCGGAATGTCTGCGGACTTATAATGCTAGAAACCGGGATTCGATACCCGTAATAGCCAGAGCACAGATAGCCCTTTGTGTAGCTTTGTGCTTAACTTCAAACAAAAAAAAAACATTTTAATAAAAACTACAATAAATTATATTAAATTTCAGTTTGCACAAAGTTTTACAAAACGAAATTGCAAAACCACACGATCTTTAAAATGTAAAGGAATAAGAATAATTAAATAATTTCACATCACGTTTGTAAAATATCCAGAACACAAATATTTTTTTAACTAACGTTTGTTTGTTTTGGATTTCATGCACAGCTACATCAGGTGTATTCATCCCTAATTTTGAAATGATCGATTAGAGAGGAAGGAGATAGTTAACACCATCTTTTACCAACTTTTAGGATTTGACTGTCGCACTTATAATGCACCCACTTCTACATAGTGCAGAGCATGATTCTTCTTACTTTTATTTTCTTTTTATTGGCGGAAAAGGAATATGAAGAGCGGAACTGGAGTTTGGAACAAAGTTAATCACTGGATCATCAACTAAAAAATGGAAACATTTTAATCAGGAAAGGAAATGTCAGACAATTCAGCAGAGGACACTTGGGCAGAGTTCTTCCTTATAATAGATATATATATCTATTGGTTGGCTTGAAAAATAACACCAGTAAGGACCAGGTATATATCGCACTAAATATTTGATAAACTAGTTAACAAGATGCTGTTAGAAAACTTAATAAACAAGGTACAACTAGAAAAACAGTATACTGCTAGAATACTTTATAAACAAGATACTGCTAGACTACTTTATAAACAAGATACTGCTAGAATACTTTATAAACAAGATACTGCTAGACTACTTTATAAACAAAATACTGCTAGAATACTTTATAAACAAGATACTGGTAGAACACTTTATAAACAAGGTACTGGTAGAATACTTTATAAACAAGGTACTGGTAGAACACTTTATAAACAAGATACTGCTAGAATACTTTATAAACAAGGTACTGCTAGAATACTTTATAAACAAGATACAACGAGAAAAACAAAGTACTGCTAGAACACTTTATAAACAAGGTACTGGTAGAACACTTTATAAACAAGGTACTGGTAGAATACTTTATAAACAAGGTACTGGTAGAACACTTTATAAACAAGGTACTGGTAGAACACTTTATAAACAAGATACTGGTAGAATGATTTATAAAGAAGATACTGGTAGAATACTTTATAAACAAGGTACTGGTAGAATACTTTATAAACAAGGTACTGGTAGAATACTTTATAAACAAGGTACTGGTAGAACACTTTATAAAGAAGGTACTGGTAGAATAATTTATAAACAAGGTACTGGTAGAACACTTTATAAACATATTATTGTTAGACGAATTTTAAGGCACATATAAGATACTTTGTAAACAAGGTACTGGTAGAATACTTTATAAGTAACGTAATACTAAAAGGCTTTTTGAACAAGGTACCATTCTGTAAAAATAAAAACTGTAAACATAGGGCACTGCTTGTTAAATATATACATCTAAGATACTACTTTTAGACAATACTGTTATTGAACTACTTCTATAACAACTAAAATGTTAATGTTTTTCAAACTATCTAGATGTCACTTTTAACGAATCAGTGCTCTAACAAATGATAGGTTGATATTCTTCAGACTATGTTACTAACAACGATAACTATTCTTTATCTTACATAGAGAAACTCCATTATCGAATAAATACTGAAGCAGCTGAGAATTTATTGTTTTAACCACATTGTGGCATTGTTATCGAAACAATGCCGTGACAGCTGAAACGTTACTATATTTCTGACTAAATAAACGGCACTGTTACCAAAACAATGTTGTATCATCTGAAAGGTTAATGTTCTTTACACTACACAGACAACATTGTTGCCAAAACAATGTTGTATCATCTGAAAGATTAATGTTCTTGAGACTATATAAACAGCATTGTTACCACAATAATGTTGTATCATCTGAAAGGTTAATGTTCTTGACACTACACAGACAACATTGTTACCAAAACAATATTGTATCATCTGAAAGGTTAATGTTCTTTACACTACACAGACAACATTGTTACCAAAACAATGTTGTATCATCTGAAAGGTTAATGTTCTTTACACTACACAGACAACATTGTTACCAAAACAATGTTGTATCATCTGAAAGGTTAATGTTCTTTACACTACACAGACAACATTGTTGCCAAAACAATGTTGTATCATCTGAAAGATTAATGTTCTTGAGACAATATAAACAGCATTGTTACCACAATAATGTTGTATCATCTGAAATTTTAATTTTCTTGACACTACACAGACAGCATGTTACCAAAACAGTGTTGTATCATTTGAAAGTTAATGTTCTTTACACTACACAGACAACATTGTTGCCAAAACAATGTTGTATCATCTGAACGATTAATGTTCTTGAGACTATATAGAGAGCATTGTATCGAACCAATACTATTATAATTGTAAGATTAATGTTCTTTAAGCTATATAATGAAAGATGTTACCAAACCAATCATTTAACGTATGGAAATTTAAAGCTATTCACACTACCCCTCTAGAAAAAACTCTATTGAGAATATATATTACGCAGTCAATTTCACGAGGTACAAAGACACTTTAATAGGATAATTCTCTATAAAACAATACTTTTATGAGAGATCTGTTTGTTTCTGTATGTAGAAAGAATATAACAAGTTTTTATATAAACAAACTTCTTCCAAGTTTCGTAAGATTTTATTTTTCACCGCCATTGAAAAGAAGTTTTGAAATTTCATTTTTTGTTGCCTTCATTCAAGTATAGTGTCAAACAAACGTAACATTTAGCTCCTCCTCAACTAATTTACTCCTGCAGCAAGTTGGACATCTTCATCGGATTAATTGTGTGCTCACCTTCTTTATTCTGTTTATTTTCAATCTGCTCAAGTTGCTGTCTTTCTTCATTTGGATGAGTCAGTTGGCTATGCCGACGTCTTTGGGGTTGATTATTATTGTGACGTTTGTTGTCAGGGGGCGTTGGCGTCACTTGATTTTTCTGATAGAAGCACGAGAATATCAGGCGAAATCCTTTCCGAAAGCTCTCACTACAAGCACCATAGATGATTGGGTTAATAGCTCCATTTGCGTAAGTGAATAGATGGGCCACGAAGAAAACACGTCTGTACCAGTTGGGTAACTTGTGGAAGATTGAAAAACTAAGAATTAAATACAGTATTTTTACTTAATGTACAGCTGACATTTTTTACAGAAGGATGTAAATACACAGCACATAATTTATCAAACAGGACAAATATCAAGGTAAACAAACGTTGTGTTTGAGATCTGCTCATTTTGTATCACAGAGATTCTGATTTAGAACAACCATCAATGTTCACAAGTAAACATTAGCTAACTGATTTAGAACAACCACGAGTGTTTGCAAGTAAACATTAGCTAACTGATTTAGAACAACCATGAGGGTTCACAAGTAAACATTAGCTAACGGATTTACAACAACCATGAGTGTTCACAAGTAAACATTAGCTAACGGATTTAGAACAACCATCAATGTTCCCAAGTAAACATTAGCTAACCAAAATCCTACAAAAAAAAAAGAAATTCCTCTTCCAATACCCCCATTACTTCATACAGTAAGAATTACAGTCCATTTTCACTTACACAGTGCTTATCTATACCCTACTTACTTCATAAGTTAAAATATACAGTTCAATTTCACATACACAATACTTACCTACACCATAATTACTTCATACAGTAGAATTACAGTTTACTTTCACATACACAATTCTTGGCTATATCCTCGTACACTGAGATTTACAGTCCCGTATATATTAGGTATTCAACCTATTTTTACATAACCAAGAATTTCAATGTAGTTTCTCGTAATAAGCTTTATATACAATTGTTCCTCTATTTAACTATTCATGTAAATTCTGCCTTTGAGTCTAAATATCTATATTGTCTTTACTAACATAAACATACCCATTAAAATATAAAATAATTATTGACAGTAATCACATTACTATTAGCAAAACACCCCAAAAACATTTTTCACTTGTGAGAAATTTCATAGTTTTGACAGAATACTAATTAAATATAGTGAATACATCTTGTTACTTAACACCTACCTCATAGCTGGTTGATTTAAAGTGACGATACAACACAACAACTTGAAGTAAATACCAACCTCGTAGCTGGTTGACTTAAAGTGGCGATACAACACACAACAACTTGAACTAAATACCTACCTCATAGATGGTTGACTTAAAGTGGTGATATAACACAAGAACTTGAGCTAAACACTTACCCATAACTGGTCGACTTAAAATTATAATACAACACAACAACTTGAACTAAACACTTACCCATAACTGGTCGACTTAAAGTGATAATACAACACAACAACTTGAACTAAATACCAACCTCGTAGCTGGTTGACTTAAAGTGGTGATACAACACAACAACTTGAACTAAACACTTACCCATAACTGGTCGACTTAAAATGATAATACAACACAACAACTTGAACTAAATACCAACCTCGTAGCTGGTTGACTTAAAGTGGCAATACAACACAACAGCTTGAACTAAACACTTACCTCATAGCTGTTTGACTTAAAGTGGCGATACAACACACTACAACTTGAACTAAATACCTACCTCATAGCTGGTTGACTTAAAGTGGCAATACAACACAACAACTTGAACTAAATACCTACCTCATAGCTGGTTGACTTAAAGTGGCGATACAACACAACAGCTTGAACTAAACACTTACCTCGTAGCTGGTTGACTTAAAGTGGCGATACAACACACAACAACTTGAACTAAACACCTACCTCATAGCTGGTTGGCTTAAAGTGGCGATACAACACCACAACTTGAAAAGTGAACCAGCACCAGAAACAGTTGAGTAGGTAGACAAATAGCATCCTTATAACCTATAAAATATATTTAGTATTGATGATACAAATAAAGAAATGTTAAATCCTTTAAATATGAGTCAAGTGCACGTTATATAAGAATTTATACTTTTACTGTAATCTTATAAGTCAAGTGCACGTATATAAGAATTTATACTTTTACTGTAATCTTATGAGTCAAGTGCACTTTATATAATAATATATACTTTTACTGTAATCTTATAAGTCAAGTGCACGTTATATAAGAATTTATACGTTTACTGTAATTTTATGAGTCAAGTGCACGTATATAAGAATTTATACTTTTACTGTAATGTTATAAGTCAAGTGCACGTTATATAAGAATTTATACTTTTACTGTAATTTTATGAGTCAAGTGCACGT